CAACCACACTTGGAGTGGGTTGTTTCCGTAGGTGGATTTTTGACACGGGTCTTGCCCGTGTTGAGATTGCGCTGGAACCCCCATTCCCTATACTACTGGAAAGTGAATACTTTCTTATCTAAATCAGATTATACCAGATTCAATTGTTCTTGCCGTCTATCGTGGCTGTCATGTGATTTGATGTTTGGCAAGGATTTAGTTCAGTACAGCACTTAGCTTACCAATGTGCTTACCTTCTACCAACTACCTTCTACCATTTATTTCAATAGTGACCAAGCCTACTCGACCACCTGCGATCTGTAGAAAGAATGAACGGGTATGCTCTGATGGAACTCAATGTGTTCACCGAGAATGGATTTGTGATGGAACTAACGACTGTGCCGATGGCAGTGATGAAAAAGATTGTGGTAGGAATCTGCATTATATGAATGAATAAATAATAAAAATAAAATAAAGAAAAATAAAATAAAGAAATGGGAATTTAAACAGTCATTCCACAGAGTGGCTCTTTTTCCACTGCATTTCAATTATTGGAATACACCAGTTTCACATTCGATGCATAACGCTGTATTTGAAGACTACAGACTCATTTGCATGGGCTTTATTACCCTCAGAAGTCAGCTATTCACAGATACCATTAAAAGTCTGTGAGATTTCAAAACGTTAGTATTGTCCAACTTGCACATTCTTTACATTACAGTGTTGACTTTTGAAAATGGTTTCTTAGACAAGGCTAAGTTTGTGCAGATGACTCTTCAGTCATAAAACATATATTTAAAGAGAAAAGGGACTATGAATAGGGAAAACCAAAGAAACCCTCAAAGCACAGGAGAAAACCAACAAGTGAGAGGCAAGCACTCTCACTGCTATGCCACCTGATTTCTATTAAATATTTGTTACTGTCCTATTGAGCATGGAATTTAGTCTCATACTCAGTCTGTTGTTTCTTTAAGGTACCCTTGATTGCACTAGTTCAGAATTCACCTGTGCTAATCAGGTTTGCATCCCAAAGGGACAAAGATGTGATGGCAAAGATAACTGTGGTGATGGCAGCGATGAACGTTCTTGTCGTAAGTATCCTCATGTTATGGATTCCAATACCTTATTCATTAACACTCATATGTAAACCTTATTTTTACTGACAAGTTATGTCTGTCTACTCTTTTACTGAAATCTTTCAAAAACTTTTTCCCCCTAGTTTTTATTGGCTTTTAAATTATAACATGCAAATGAGTTTTGTCTATTATGACAAAATAAGTCCTTTGATAAGACAATTTATATATGCTATTTAAGTAAAATTATTTAAAAATCTGGATACCAGATAGACTTACCCTACTTTATCTGGCTTTGTGCAATATTTGCATGTCTATTGGCAAATTTATGCAAGAAAGAAACAAAAGAAAGGCTTAAAAATGTACAAATATAAATTTTAAAGGCTATTTTTGTTTAGTTGACTATAGACATTTGATTATGGAAGATAATAATGATTTTTGTAAAAGATGTATGTTAGTTTCAAGCACTAAACTACAAAGACAGTTGCATGCAGATTAAATTTGATGGAGTTAAAATGTTTGAATATTATGCTGGACTTAGATTGAATCCTTTCTATAAAATATAGCAACTCCAACACCTTTGGCACAGCCTCTGCCACTGATTATGAACCAAGGTGGATCTAATACCAACATGCATAATTATAGTAAGTACTTATTGCAGGGCCAAAAAGCATAGGCCAAGAAGTTGATGTCAGTTGAGCATTAAAACCAATAATCTACTAACTGTAAATATTATGTTTGAATTCATGTAATGGTAATTGTTGATAAATTTGATTCAATTACAGTTATTTCAAACAAAGTAAATTTTGCCAAAAAAAGCTAGTAATAATTTTTTTTTCAGTAATAATAAAAAAAGCATAAAATCTCTTTAAAGTGCAAGTTGAAAACTGAAAACTGTTGAATTTTTTATTATTTTTTAGTAGTTTAAAAGCCAATGAAAATGTAATCTCATTTGCTGACTAACTAGACTTCCAAAAATTAAAATACTAATGCCTATAACTAATAATTATCAAGCTAGATCTGTTCACTAAGTATCCAACATCGTTTCATGTGTTTCATTGTTTAATGAGTAACTTATCATGCTTTTGATAAGTATGTGTATGTTGTCGCTGTTGTTAGTGTTGCTTGTTGTTGCTACATGCCGATGATAAGAATGGTGAAGAAGGTGAGGTTTTTTAGGATTAATGTGGGTACTTATCCTTCCCTTTACTTATACCTCTACAGCCATAAGCCCTAATCAAGTATGCAAGCCAGGGTACTTTAGATGTGGTAGCAGCACTACTTGTATTGCCGACAGCAAAGTATGCGATAGTATTCCACAGTGCCCTCATGGTGAAGACGAACGCAACTGTAGTATGTATCTAGATCTACTAGTAACTATTCTAATGGTTGCATGGGTCAGGATAACTGTGATGGCTCTCATGGTGATGATAGGGGACTTGAGATATGTAAAATCTATGACTGCAAAATTGACTGCAAGTGTAAATAATTTGACTTTTGGGTTTTGCTCCTGCAATGAAAGTCTCTCTTCCCTGTGGATGAGCCGACTTTAATACTGACATTACGTTTTGAATGAAATTTCCAATGAACAGAACCCTAAAGAAAAAATATTTTTGTAAACGTTTGTACACCTCATTAAAGTACAAACCAGGGCCTAAAACCATACAATGACCGAGGCAGGACTAAAACGAGTTTCAAGATAGCCGCCCTACAAATCATATTGGAAAAAATTTTTCTTATCTGAGTCTGAATGTTTTCTGCATTCTTATGTTATGCGCAGTGGGGATATGCGCAGTAAAAAAACTACGGAATTACTTTAAAGATGATAGCGGTAATTAGAATGGTTATGTGCTTATGATGAAAATAAGAATACTGGTTGGGTGATTGTACCTACGACCACATACATGTATTTGTTGCTATAGAGACTGTCTTCTAACCAGAATGTTTCTACATTTTGTAGACATTGATGAGTGTCTATCAAACAATGGTCACTGCTTACATATCTGCACCAACACCAAAACCAGCTTCTACTGCTCATGCAGACCTGGATACGAACTAATGGATGATCGCAAGAGTTGTCAAGGTTAATATACTATAGTGTCTATAATATATACCTCAAACATTTGATATTTTAAAAGCATTCACCTTCAGAAAATTGTTGATTAGGCAGGTTGGAAATGGTTTTCTAGGGCATATGTGTGCCCAGCTAATGAAGAAAAGCTTAAAAATAGATTTGAAAAAAAGGGCAAATGCAAAAAATTCTATAATGCTGAATAGTTGTGTCATAAGTTTTTTTGTGTTATTTTAAGAATTTTCTGATTAGAGTGTTTAACATTTTGCCAATAGCTTTTTAACCCCAAGGGAAAAAATATACCCAAAAATCACAAAAATTAACCTTCTAAATTAAGCTTCTAAGGGACTTCAGAACTACAGTGATCGCTAAATAAAAATGCCCATATCAAAAGCTCACATCCAATAGTTTTTTAAATAGAAGGAACATTTACCAAGACTTTGATTAGGAGCAGAACACATAATTACTGTATATACTTACGAATATGATACTTCATTCAGTGTATTGGGATGGTAGGTGATGTTATGTTTATGCATTTGTAGATATCAATGAGTGTGAGATCCCAGGCATGTGCAGCCAAACATGTTTCAATACTAAAGGAAGCTTCAAGTGTTCTTGCTTGGATGGATATGTATTGGAACCTGATAAAAGAAGATGCAAGGCTCAAGGTAAGACTTGGATGATAGTGTTTATAATGGGGAGAGCTGAGAATGGTTTCCAGTCCACAACTTCTAAGCAGCCCACAGGCTGCCCAAGCAATAATGGTTGTGCTCAAGCCCCAAATACAGCAAAAGAGATAGAAAACTATCAATATTAATCCCATTCCTTGATTTTGAGTTGCTTTTGGTGGTTTTTGATCTGGTTTATGCAGTTTGAAGTCATTTTAGCTGTCTTTTCTGACTCAGGATCTGTAGCACAGGGAGCCCAATTTAATAATCTTTTTATGTTTTTCATGACTATAGGGCCGCGACCATACCTGATGTTCTCCAACCGTAACAGTATCAGGTTGATCATGACAGACGGCAAGGAGTACAAACAGGCTTTTAAGAACTTGCACGATGCTAAAGCCCTTGGGTTTGATATCCAAGAAAGCATGATTTACTGGACAGACGGACAGCAGTCTAGCATACTAAAGGCCAAGCTAGGATCAAAAACCGTAGTTACTGTCGTAGAAAGAGGCATGGTCGATCCTACAGGGCTTGCTGTTGACTGGGTGGGAAAGAAGCTTTATTGGTCAGATTCAGGAACCAATAGTATTCTAGTGGCGGAAATGGATGGCAGAAATAAGAAGACTCTAATTACTAGTGGTCTGGACAAACCTAGTTCTCTGGTCGTTGATCCATCTGAAGGGTAGGTTTTTAATCCTTTTCATTGTTCTGATGACCAAAAAATATATCCTTGGGGGGGTGTGGTGGGGGAAGAGTCACCCGTTTAGGGTACGGATTCGCTGCTGAGCCCTCTGAACCCTGACCCTGTTCCAGAGTAAAATCGCTGAAATTCATTCCCCGATTCCAGAGCAAGATCGCTCAAAACCATACTCTGTTCCGGTATTGCGAAAATTGATACCCTGTTCCAGAGAGGAGAGGGCGTGATTTCATGAACCCTGTTCCAGAGCGAGTGCGATTTTATATACCCTGTTCCCGAGTGGAATCACTGAAAGCCGTATCCTGTTTGGCGGCACGTACCCGTAAAGCGAATACAGGGGAGTACTCCCCCCGGAAGAGTCATTCCTGGAAAATGCAAATTCAGATAGTTCAGACACAAACTTCTAGACTAAAAATCTAATGAAGGGTATTTTCTCTTAGTACTTTGTACTGGATCGACTGGGGATCACCAGCCAAGATTGAAAGAGCAAGCATGGATGGCTCCAACCGTCAGGTCCTGATCAGTGGAGACCACATTGAGCGTCCAGCTGGACTGACCATTGACTACACAACACGTAAACTATACTGGGTGGACTCGAAGCTTAAGACCATCAAACACTGCAACTTGAATGGTTCTGCTATCCGAGAGCTTGTCAACACAGGACTGATGAATCCTTCAGCTGTGGCTGTGTTTGAAGACCATATTTACTGGACAGACGCTAAAAGTATTAAGAAGGCTAATAAATTCACAGGCAAGAATATGTCTGTGCTGGTGAGCGATGCCATGTCGCCACAAGATGCACATATCTACCACCCCCGGAGGCAGCCATCAGGTAAGACAAGGAGGTAGGGGTGCAGAATAATTTCCATAGTAGTCATTGCGGAGGCACCCGGGGGGGGGGGGGGGGCGGAGGCACCACGGCAAACCTGGGAAAACAGAATTTTCTCTTCCTTTGCATTTCCATTTAGTACTTATGTAAAAACATAATTATGCGCTGATGCATTATGTCCATCTCACTGATACCCTGTCTGGGTTCATTTATAGTAACATCAAGACCGTGTGCCAACGATAATGGAGGATGTTCACACTTGTGTCTCATATCATCTACTGTTAGAGGATACACCTGTGCATGTCCTGATGGCATGGATTTGCAGAAAGACAACAAAACCTGTGCTAAAAGTAAGTGTTTTACTGACTTTCTAGCTATATATGCAGCAAATAGGCACTGATGGTTGATAAACATGTTTTTGTTAATATAACTACTATACTATAGCTATGAACGGCAAACCGACAAGATAGATGTTGATTGTACTTTTCATCTTGTCATAGGCACCCCCAGGACTACCACACCAACAATATCGCAATCCTCATCAACACCCCTGAATACCATACCAACGATATCGCCATCCTCATCAAAACCCTTGACTACCATACCAACGATATCGCCATCCTCANTACCATACCAACGATATCGCCATCCTCATCAAAACCCTTGACTACCATACCAACGATATCGCCATCCTCACCAACCAACAAACATGGTTTCGTAGAGGCCTCCATGGACAACAACAAACCTGCGGTTAATGACCCTGCTCTTACCATTGGTCTAGTGGTTGGACTACTGGTGTTACTTGTAATTGCAATCATATTGATTATCCTCATAAGGAGGAGACGAACGCCACAAAGATTAGAGTAAGTAGAAAGTAAACAGAGACTGCGAGCGGTCCAACTTTTAACTCCAAACTCAGAAAGGACGAGTGTTTTGGGATTCTTTTATCCCCGCTTACTCGGCTCCAATGTACGCGCCCGTCCACAGGAATCCCAAAACACTCCTTTTTACTTTGTCTGGACCACTCGCAGTCTAGAGCAAACCGTATCAGAAACTCATAAGGGAGTTGAAACATGTAAAAGCCATTTCTTTTGTACGATGCTTCTGAAAAAAWTTTTTTTTTTCTTGACAAATTTGACGAATCTTCAATATTCCAACAAAAGTAGTTTCTTCAATATTCAAAAAAAAGGTAGTTTGAAAATTCGATGAACTTGGCTCGTAGGCTCTTGTTTATAGCGGAAACACAAGGTAAGGCCTAGGGCAAACGTCGAACTTTCTATGCACCGAACTTAATTGGTTTGACTGTAAGGGGTTAAAAATCATCCGGTCACGCCCTTTCTAAAAGAAGAAGTATTTTTTTAGGGGTATTAAAAAAATTTCAACAAGCATAGCCGATCCCTTACGAACGGTTAGGTAGTTATGCCATTCTGATATCTTTTCACCATATATATGGACTGCTTGCTGTAATAAATGATTTCTTTTATCAAACAGAATTCTTTACAATGTCAAAAGCGAGTCGAATAAGATGGTAAACGGGGCAGCAATATTGATCAAGAACCCCGATATCAAGAACCGCAGCGAGTATAAACATTTTGAAAACATCAACTACGATCCAGCTGATCCTAACGAACCACAAACACCTCCACAAGAACCCGACGACGACGACTCTATAGATCATGACGAGACCACACCAGTTATTCCTAAGGGAAATATCGACATCGTGTAATAACCACATAAAACCACAGGCATACCACTCATGGATACGTCTGTTCAACAGGAGAGTAGAATCACAGGTGTGATGTAATATTAAGCGATAGACGGGGATGCCAATTTGTTCGAGACCTCAGATCTTGGATAACATTGGCGAAGATGTTTGGGGCGGACAAGTGGATCTCTCCAATTTAGGTATTCTAGTTAAGTTAATAATTTTTTGTTTATAAATTTTTGGTGACACAGAGGGAATGAGATATGAACGCGGAGAAACCTTCCCTCCTACGCAGACGTTCTTATAGTTAGTGGGGAGAGAAACATCGCGTCACAGACACTAAGAACGTCTGCATAGGAGGCTAGGAGAACCATACAGAAAATGATACGAGATTATGGTTCTAATATTTCAAGTTCCAACGCCTTGGAATCCAGTTTCCGCGTTTGTCTCTCTTTTCTCTCCTAGAAGCTACGGAATATAAGTATTCAAAAGACAAAGGTACTAATATATCGAGATAAGAATATTCTCATATTTTGTGATCCATTAGAATATCTTTCATTGCATTTAGAAACTAGGTTGTAAATACTACTTAATACATCATTACTACTTAATACAGCATTACAGAGCTTTCCCCCCTTGAAGTAAAAATAGCATATGTCAGGTCCCTCGCTTTGCGTGCAAAAAATTTATCCCCCTCAAAAAAGACAAAAAATCCAGACTTAAAAAAACAAGTTCTAGTTTTGAGAGCTTCGTGATGAGTCGCTGGAGAAAAACGAAAATAATAAATTAATTATAGTTATCATATTAATAATAATTTTCTGTATATTTAATAGCATTATTATTTTGAAGAGTTTTGGCTGGTTTATCAAAGGCCACTCTATTGCATTGCCGCTTGTTAGCTATTTTTGTGCAAATATCCCACAGATAAGTTTAAAGAGAATAAGGGTGATTTATATTATATTAGTTGTGACGTATGGCTGCGTGCACAGTTGTATAGAAAAACATGTAAATATCTATATATGCAATTATTATTTCAAGTCGATAAATTTTCTTTATTTATGTAGTTATTCAGCTGGCTGAATATTCCATTTGTTCCACTCTTATGTTTCCAGTGTTCCTTGTCGAGTTTTGTTTTCATCGCGCCTGTACTTGGATAGTCTCCCCCACAGCCGCTTTCAGTGTCGTCACGCAACGCTTTCTCCCCTAAATATTCAGGGGAGAAAGCGTTGCGTGACGACACTGAAAGCGGCTGTGGGGGAGACTAGTACTTGGATGGGCCACGTTCGAGATATTAAAATTGATTTTATTATAATGTCGTTGAGTAGTGAACTGTGACTATCATTTTGGCCAAAATTTTCTTATTCTTGCCGAAAGGTAGGAACGTCATATATGGTACATTATTTATTATCCAAGTGTTTGTGCCATACTTGAAGTACCATTCGACTTAAGCCTCGCACTCGAGTCCGAATTTTAAGATATCGAACTTGGCCTATTTATTCTGCCGGTCTCTGGTCTCGAGCAATGCACGAAAAAGTTGAAGAAAACATTACGAGAACGTTGTTGTTTTGGTTGGTCGTTGTGCTTCAAACCAAAACCACATTGCTGGTTTTCGTAGCTTACCGTGTCTGTCCAATTTGTTGAATAAAAACATCCATTATTGCTAAGTTCATCGTTTGGAATCGTTGCAAACTACCTAAAAAGAATTATTTCGGATGCTTCCTTATGCCAAAAATATTGCAGGAACGTCATGAGAACACCCAGACACGGCACTGATAAACCAACCTTTTTGTTTTAGCTCCCGCTAGAGACCTGATTCTGGTATTTGGGCGTTGTACGCTCAACCTTTTTTGAATATGGTAAATATCGGCATTCATTTCCAAACAATTCTCTTTTCATGTGTAAATGTCTAGTTACATTTAATCATGTTCAATATGAACATTACACTGTGTAATTTCGGTAGGGTCATTTTAGACGCCAGCGCAGTAAAGAAAAATGTCTTGGTTAGTTTAAACAAAATGAGTAACATTTCACATAAAGGAACTTTAAACCATCAAAATCTGGTCTCCTACGCAGCCGCTATTAGTGTCGTCACGCCACGCTCACTCCCCCAGGGGAGTAAGTGTTGCGTGACGAAACTAATAGCAGCTACGTAGGAGACTAATCAAAATAACCACGAGTAAAGATTGACAAAGTTTCGAATGCTCGTCTTGTCCCGGAAGTTGTCATTTCTTTTAGAGTCATAACCGTTAGACAGCAAGAGTGGGAATGTATTTTATCTGACCAGGGTAGAGTAGTACCTGCCCGGACATTTTGGAAAGTTATATTTCACGAGTTTTTGCCGGCTCATATCATTTAAGAATGATTTCATTTAACCCGTGAGATATGTATTATAGTCTTATAGAAATAAGGGGTTTCTTCGCTTTTCACTGTATTTGAATGTTAGATTTTTGTTTCATGGGTTAAATGAAATAATTCAGTCTATTGCGAAAATAGGCGAAAAAAATAAAACGTTGTATATATCTTGAGACAACAGAGATTGTCTTCAATATGTGTATACTAGGAAACAAGAGTGACAAAACTGTTTTGACTTGATATAATACACCTTTGAGATAGATTACAGTGCAATTAAATGTCTAAATGTTATTGGCCAGCTAGCATGCTGTATGTATATAATATTGATAATATTAGCTAAGCTAACACAAGCTGCTTATAGTTCATTTTTTGTAGCCAGAATTGCTACTTTGTAACAAAACAATAGAAATAAAAAAGCTCTATATACGTGACTGGAGTATTTTATTTGTTATGATCAGACGTTACACGTCTGAAAAAAGTTGCAGGGTGCACCCAATGAACACTTGAAAAAAAAGCCAGCTATTTTTTGTAAACTGAAATGTACCAGCAATTATTGGGTTGCCTGTGGCAGCCCAGTCTAAAAATGCGTTGCGTTACGATTTATCCACTGGACCACGGCTTACTGACTATGTAGGGGAATCATCATAACAATAGTCGTGAAAACAATGCACCGAATAGACTAGACTTTTTGAACATATTTTCAACCGATTCTGTGCGTGGCAGAGATGCAAGGGATAAGCCGTTATGGCCTGGGGGCCGGCTGGTATTTCCCCTGATGCTTCGGCTAGAACGTTTTCTTGCGTAATTCGTACACCCAAGGGCAGAAGGATTTAATCGCCGTCAGGTCCGGAGTCCATAGGCCGCCTCAGCTCTGCGGATGTCTCTGGGGTATGGCACAGTAGAATCGATTTTTTAAAAATTTCTGTAGGTGGGTTCGAATCACATCTTCATATGAGATTTTTCTATCTTCCCTGTATGCATGACAAAGTTTGCTGACAAGAACATTTACTGCACTTGAATCTTTACATCATATGCCCGCAAAGGAATAGTGGGTAGTGCCGTGAAGACTTCTGGGTACTATTGCGCAATTTCTGTATTTTCTGATAAGAGAAATAAACAGCCACCCCAGTATAGTAAATAACATAATAACAAAGGATGGTAAAAAGATTTTWAAAAAATGGTGATTCTAACTGAGAAAATCGAGATTATTTGATTTTGTTGCGTCATGGCGCAAGATCAAATTCACAAGTAATGTGACGCAACGCATAACGCAAAACTGCTTATTTAATAGCCTAAAAAAGGGCAGAACCTGCAATTATTGTTATCTTATGTAGAGAACACCTTAAGGGAGAAGATCGTCTTAGACGAGTTGAACGAAATCATCCTCTTTCGTAAAGCATTAAATTATCTTTTGGCTTGTTCGCGTAAATATTAGTTTTTGGTGCACTTTTTCAACAACAAAATCAAAAAGCTGGATTGATGAATAAGTTATCAGCTCCAGTAAAACTCCCTAATCAAGTATGTTCACGCAGACAGAAAAGAAGAAATGAAGGAAAGAAAGAATAAAAGAAAGAAAGGGATAAAAAGAGAAAGAAGGAATGGAGATGATATACGTTCATATAATTAATTTGTCCTAAATGTCGTAGAATTAATCGTTTGAGGGCTGTAGTTGCTAATTGTCGTTACATTTTCCTTTTCCTATATCTAAAATTCTTTTAATGTGTATGTTGGGTTGAGACTAGTTTTTCTATTCTTTTTTCATCGGGGTTGGGTTTGGGTGTTAATATTATATAGGGGACCTAGAGTCCTATTGTATTATCACCTGCCCTTGGGCGAATCATGAAATAAGCAAATAAATAAATAAACTTCAGAGCCTTCAGTCCTTTGGGACAGTGGTAAAACGTCTTCACGTGAACGTTTGGCGGGAAATACCCAGGTTCACGCGGATGAAAATTAGAACTTGGCTTCGCAAAGCGACAGAGCGAAGGGATTTGCGTTTGAAGCAACTTATTTTGGTCTCCTTTTCTCTATACATAAAGATAAATCTGTCAAGAGGAAGCAGGAAAGAGGTAATCATTTTTAAAAACGTAGCTGTAGTTAAAAACAGCGGATAATGTTTGTTCTTTTTTTTTTATTTTGGTTTTCTTAAACGCGGCCTCGAATCACGGTATTAAGAGCCCACTTTCGTATGCTTCGCTTGTCTACGCTCAGTGATTGTTGACAAGAGAAAAGAATGATTTTAATTGAGCACATTCAAACCTTTGTGCGTGGCAAGCGAAGCATATCTCGGAAGTTTGATATTTAAAGCGTAACACCACGTCTTTCCATTTAAAAATAGACCGACAGCCTTGACATGATCTACAAAAATTGTTTATCACATAAGGCCGAAGTCCATGGGCTATTGACTCGTAGACTATAAAGGCGAGAGGTCAAGGGCACAAGGACACCTAAAAGGGTTGGATTTTAATGTTCTTTTCGATTATTTAAATCAAATGAACCTTATACTTTTACTTCCTCCCACACCCTCCCGTTCACTGAAACAATCAGGATCAAGAGGAGTGGTAGACTTTTGCAAAGTCTGCTGCCCTCTGTGTATCTGTATGATGGCAAGAGGGGTCGACTTAGTGCAAGTCTAAAGGAGAGGCACAAAAATCTGAGGCACAGCACTTTTACAATTAGTTGTATGGGTAACGAAGCAAATCCCACTGCCCTCACCACCCCCTCCCCCTGATAATAAATGAACAGTCCCTCAACTGGTTGAAACCAGGTGTAAATGATATTTAGCACTAAATAGTATGTGCAAATACTGTAGCTAAAACAAAAGACTATTCATGATATTTCATTAATCATCATAAACATACAAGGATTGGTCACAAAATATATATGCAAAGGACTGATGTGTAATTGCTCTGATAAAATACCATTAAGAAAACTTATATTGTTCCTAATTTATTGATTTCTTACTATATAAATTGAACTCTTTGAACCCAAGAACAAATTTTAATTTGGTGTATTGAATTCCAATTCCATGGTTTCTTATTGAACAAGTGACTCCACGGTTAGTGGAGGAACAAAATTTACATATATCAAAAATCAAAACTTTTCTTCTACGTACATAATTGGATATTTTTTGTAATATCCAGGCTTTCGGCCTCAGGGATTGAATGAAATTACAAATCTAAGTCAGTCTAAATCTAAGTCTTCATTCCACTCCTGAAGATGGGCCAAATGGCCCAAAAGCTTGATTAAATTACATATAGAAGAAACGTTTTAATTTTTGATAAAACGCCTACATACAACATACTCAATTTTAAAATTTATATATTCATATTTTACATTGATATTTGATAGATAATTGACATTCAGTCAACATATAGTTGTTAGAAGTGAGTTGCATATATAGTAGTGACTTTCAGTGGCAATGAATGATATCACGTAATGATCGACAGTCA